AGACAAGCCAGGAAGAAGTTTGTTGGGATTCTGGCACTAACCTTTTCAGTATTAGACCCCTTACAGACATCTGGCCAGTTTATGCAGCTCAATGTCCCATTATTTCCCGCAAGTGAAAAAGTGCTCATAGGGAAGGCTCATTAATGAGGACCTGCTTGCATGCTAGGCAGATCATTGTGATCAATCCTATGACCACCTGTCTTCTTTTTAGACAACCAAGCTTGGCTTGTTTGGCCAGGCTTAAAAGACACAGACAGGGAATGTCAAAACATGCCTGTTCACAACTGTAGTAATTTATCACAGTATAAAACATACAGCTTCTGCATTGCTTGGGTTCTTTGAAATTGCTATTATTGTGTTTGTTTCACTCTTAAGAAACAGGCAGCAATTCATTTTATCTAGACCTTTATCAACTCTATCTACTGGCAGCCTGTTTAATATGCTTTATTTTGTTATAAATCCACAAAATACATCTAGGAAAAGCTTATTGTAGATCAATTTCTATGTTTATTATTCTGGCATGTCATTATTTTATAAATTTTTTTAGACAAAAATTATCATACATTGAGCTATTTAAGGATACTAACTTTGCTTGGAAAAACTTCTACTAACAGTAACTGCAACAGTACCATATGTGGTATTAAACACTATGAATACCTCTACCTCAGAGCTATGTGTAACTGCTGTAATAAAATTTATGCTTTTTCCTTGATTTAGAGGTTCACAGATTTAGTTGAGTGCTTCATTCTAACCTTCTTGTGGCTCTGGGCCACAAATAATCTCTGATTTCTATTGTTTGAAAATTGACAGAGAAAATTTTATCCTTGTTTTGATCGTGTTAAGAGGTAGAAAGGTAGAAGTTTCCAAGAGTGGGGAATCTTAACAATCAACCATGCAAAACTGAAAGCCAACAGCAACTTCTTCAAAAGTATTTCAATTTCATGAAATTAAGGGATTTTCTATTGATGTCATACATTAATTGTTCCAGTAGGAACTTAATCAGTGCTAAAAGTTAGTTTAAAAAAATCCTTCTAAGTGGCTCTTTCAGGAAACATTTAATTCCTCAGTATTTCTCACAATCAGCAGAGCTGTACTGGGTGCAAATGGAGTCACTGGTTTCTTCTGAGTATTTTGGCATTTTGTCAAGTCCAGCTCCTATAAAAATAGTGAAAAGCAAAGGCATAATTTGGCCAATTCAATAAACATTATATAAAATAATGTGATATAACCATAAAGATAATAAAGTATACTGATTAGATCAATTAGTATTGTAATAACCTAGGGGAAGACAAAATGAACAGTAGAAAGAAGAAATAGCAGAAGGATATAGATTAAGAACAATTTAGATCATCTTTTCTTTGCCAAAATGTAGGGTTGGTTACCAATGAAACACTAACTTTGTTACAGGTAACAGGCAGATTAATTACCTTACACAGTAAAAAAGCTAAATTGTTTGTATTTTAAAAGGACAAAACCTTGAAATAAGCATAATAACATGATTTTGGGTGCAATTTGGTGTTAACCCTTCAACTCCCATGAGTGACCAAGACAGAATTTCTCTTTACAATATTAATACAACATCAAGCAGAAAAGTGATGAGAATAAAATATCAGTTAGGGGATTAAAAGTTGATCCAATACCAAATTCTCCAAACTAACATCACAAGAACTGAATGGTAGACAGTAAGGGGAATCACCAATTAGATCTCAGGAGTTAAATGGTTAATAAGCGCAAGTGAACTTTTCAAAGACAACAATATTGCATGAGCACTTGTTAATAAGGTACATGAAAAAACATCACAGAAAGTCGAGATGATGAAATTTTGAAAGCATGTGTGCACTATTTGTACTTTGCATTTGTATTACAACTTTGCACTTGTGTTACATGAGAATGCACTCCTTTTCAGCCAATCAGAAAGGCATAATTTTTTCATGTACATTATTACCAGGGGGAATTTTCACACAAATAGTATCAAATGAGATAATACTATGTATACAATACTGGATTACTAATGACACTCAACAGGAAATTGCTCTGTGTATACCACTCAGTTTGACAGTCTCATACCGGTGATCAAGTTGTGAAGGTTACAGTAGTTTGTACCATAGTCCAACACAGCATACCAAGTTTCAGAGGTGGAATAGCCCTGAAAGAAGGCGTAAAATAGATGTGCAAAGTAAAAATCTCATGTGTTGATCAATTTGAAGCTTCAACATCCACACCCCCCCTCCCCCTAGGCATTTTAACTTATGAAGACTGTTTTGTTCAAATTCCCAACTTGATAATTCCATTCCACTTTCCCACCTCTGCTGTGCAGGGACAACCCTCAAATGCCAAGGGGTTGCCCAATGGGGATGGGGATGTTGAAGCTCCAAATTGATTGGGGCACAAGTATTGGAACATTCATTTTATATATCCCGTGTCTGTAGATGGTGAATACACATTACATAAGACAAGGCTTAGCGGGTCTATGGTTTTATATTTCATCTATTAACACCGATTATGACTACAGTGTACTTCGATGTCTTACTTAGCCTAAAGTTCAGAAACCTGCCATCAGATCACCTCACAAGAGAAAGAAAGTTGTGCACAAGAAGCCACATCACTACCAGAGAATTTATTTCACATCACTCCCTTTCAGAAATGTTGCTGTTTAAGAATGGTAACCTTACTGAATGTTTACTAAGTGATTTAATTTATATCATGAACCTGTAAAGATGTCGAAAAATGATTGGTGCACATCTAAGAACTGTGGTCAACCACAATCAAAGCATCAAAAATGTTTCCATCAACCCATCAATATTGACCCACTAAATGCCAAAGAGAAGCAAAGATGGAAGATTCCCTCTGCATGTTATACTCAAGCCAGCATCTTTCTTTCCTATATTTCCATTAGTTTCCTAAATGAGGGAACGACACTTTTATCAGGGGTGAGGTTTTAACAATAAATTTGTTTTGGGCCATGGCCCCCTTGACTTTTTGCAGGTAAGAGGGAAATATGAATTAAGGAAACTATCTTTATAGCCAGAGAGGTGATTGGGTGTCTTCTAAATATACTTGCATTTTGTTTTATTAGCCTGGAGAATCTCATACCTCTACACTGCACAGTTCAGTTCCATTTGCAGTAAAAGTAAATGTGAGGTCATCTTTGTAGTGCTTCTTGGGCGTCTCATGGATTGCTTTGATTTCAGTATCAGTCTGACTTTCTAGCTACAGAAATAATAATCAAAAACCAAAAATATAAATAGAAGTGGAACATGGCATATAGTAGAAATAGTCAAGGCTTTACCTTCAACTGAAAATATTCCCATCTTGATTTAAGAAAACAACTGTTGTGGCCAGAGAAAATTTACTGAGTTGGCTACGTCACAAAGACCCTACACAGTAACAAGGTAGATAAATTTGAAAATCTCAATAATCCCTAATGACCTCAACATTTATTTTGATCTATGGGAGGAGGTTTTATGAAACAATGGTTGGGCTTCTACGTAAACATACCGTATAAAGACACTTTTCCCCTTTACCATCTGGGCAGGTTTCATTTGAATGCCACTTCTGAATCTGGTTAACAATGGCATCATTAACCATACTGCATTTTACTGCCCAAGACCTGAAAGATATGTATCAAGTAACTTATTTCAAAGCTGACACAAAAACGGTTTTTTTTTAACCAGCAATACCTTGAACCTGCTGGCAAATATGGTAAGAATACATCTGCAAGACAGACCTGGCTATTTTGAAAAAAAAATATAACCTGCTCTTACAAGTATAATGAATATAACCTATAACAAGTATAACCCGCTCACACAAGTGTAACTTTTCATTTTTCTTTGTCCCACACTCATGACAAGACAAAAAAACATCTTTCTATAATTCTTTACCAAGCTGAAAACTTACCATCTCTGTAATTTCTATCTACAAACATTACATTGCTGACATTGCCGATCCTAGCAATATGCAGGACGCATGTCATATGAACTTCATAATAGACCTTGCTCACCATGGAGTCTTTGTGGCTCAGTGGTAGAGCATCAGAGCATGGAATCTGAAGGTGTGAGGTTCAATTCCTCATAGGGACTCAGAATTTTTTCTTTTCCCACACTCATGACAAGACGAAAACACATCTTTCTTTATTACACAATAGAGCTCCCATGGTTAAAACCAAAATGCACAGATTACACACAGCTACTGATTTGGTTATCCTCCCCTTTTTTTTTCAATTTACTAACTTGCCCTTGATTTGATTAAAGGAAAGCCATGTGACTTGAAGGGTAGTAACCTGGCAGCTTATCTTTCCAATAGCAAGCAATATGGGAAATGACAGCCTTCGCAGAAGACATGTAACTTTGGCACTTTGGAAGACAACTTCGGAAAAGTTTGGTGACTCCTTTGAATGTAACAATGGTAGGAGGTGCCATACTTCAACTTTTTATTTTTAATGTAGAATGAGAAATGTATGTTTTCTGCTGTCTAATTCTCCTCTAAATTTTTTAGTTCCTGACTGCACTGGAAGACCTACGAATCGTGCAGATATTATATGTTTATTTGGGGTTAAAAGATTTGGGGTAGATCACTCGGAAGTTTGAAGATATACATATTTCTTAATTAAAATGGAGAGATGTAAACCACTTTTAAGATTAACATTTTGTATTATTCAACCAGTTTCGAGTGAGCTATGCGTGATCTGATATTCATGAACGCAGGTATCTTACGTAATCACATTCCCTTACCAATTTATTTTGCAAGACGCATGTAGAGGCCCTAAGCTGCCTACTGCATGGAAGACAATCATGAACATCAGCGAGAGAGTTAATTTCATCTTAAAGCACGTGGAAGGATATCTGCAAAACAATCAATTCAACACTGATAAAAGTTGTGAGGTTATCTTGTAAACGTCATGTGACTTTGAGCTGTATCGACAATAATACTTGAGCATGACTGAGCATGACGGGAAGGTAACCCTCGAGTAGAGACTGGGTCAGACACATGTGCACCATTCCTCTTCAAGATGGCGGACGACAACGGATCAAATGAGTCGCTAGATCAAATCAAGTCTCTGCGGGACGAAGGCGGCGGCAAAGAATTCACAGATCGCGAAGTAAATGGAGTTATCGAAGAGGAACCTCCAAAAGGAGGTAATCAATTGGTATCGGGTAGCTCTAAAAAGAAGAAGAAAAAGAGGAAGGGAAAAAGCAATGAAGGAAGTGAAACTGTGGTTGAGTCTCTGCCAAGTCCGGCAGTTAACCTGCAAAATCTACGCGAGCTACAAAAGAGCTTCGAACGTTTGCGGGCTGTGGAAGTGAAAGCGCCCAAAACAACAGAAGAAGCTATGAAGAAGAAGTATCAGTTCTGGGACACTCAGCCGGTACCTAAACTAGGTGGGTTTTTGTAATGCAACAACAGGTTCCATTTGATCCGACTTGTCTGCAACTGAATTTTGACTAATAATTCCATGTGATTTGTTCTTTTATTAATAAGACTCTGTCTTTAAGGCGCTTTTAAGAAAAAAAAACTTTCTGACTTGTGATCAAGAAATCGTGTGGTATGATTTCTTTCGAAAGTACATTTGTACGTATGCTAGCGCTATTTATCTGAAGTGCGTATGGTTTTTTACGCACACACCCACTTCTCTGATTGTTTTACGGGAAAAGTGTCGACCCTTGATACAGCTGCTGATAATAGATCACATCAAGCGTTTCGATGCTTTTTCATAATCAGTCTCTTGTTCTAATATAGGTTACTACCACAAGAAATAAACATCATTCTAATATTATTATCTTAAAGTAGGTAAAAGTATTTGCAAGGGGCAAGATAAAACAAACAAAGAGAGAAATGATTTCGTCATTTTATATATGTTATGTTTAATTGTTGCTGAAAGAAGTGTGATTTTAGATTTTAGAAAGAGTGTGGTAGGCATCAAGTCTTACAAAAATAATTTATTTTTTTATCTTGTGATAATGCACATATTAAGAAAGAATTTATAGTTGGATGAGTTCAAAGGTTGGTGTGTTAAAAGGATTGAGAGTATGTTTTAGAGTATGATTTTTCCTGTTTAACCATGTTGTTCTTCTAGGTCTCAGCAAAGACATATCAATCTTGCTTTATTAACCCTTTAACTCGCAAGATCTGATTGTTAATTCTCCCCTGTAGCTTCTACACATTTCCTTGTAAATTAGTTATGAGAACTTGGTGGTAGATCAAGTTAGCAGCTTCTACCCGATAAATTTGAATATTCTCATTACCTGATTGCTGAAGAATGTATGGATATTGTAGGGAGAAGTTTTATGTCAATCACTTCTGGGAGTTAAAGGGTTAAAATTCTAACTGTGAATTGCAAACAGAGTTATATCTGGATAAGACTTATTATAAGTTGCTGGATTAAAGGTTTTGTTCAGTTCTTGTCAAGTTATCACTTTTTTTGCAATCACAGTTTTGTTTCTTTAATGTTATTGTTTTAGTAATGTACTGGAAACTTAAAAAATCAATACAACTTGAATTACTGTAAATCCAAGTTGTTTGTTTTTCACCTTTTTTCCTCTAAGAGTGACTAGCACAGGGTGTGAAATTAATTTCTTTTTCTGATAGCCACTTGGCTCCTAAATTCTTCAAAGTGGTAGCCAAGTGGAAAAAAGTTGGTCGCCATTTTCAAAGACAAACAAAACCTTTTTTTAAGCTGTCAGCATTCTAGATAGACCCTCCAAAATTAAATTTGGGAAAAGATCTTTAACATGCTACAAAGTGGACACTAGGATGGACGATATACAACATTAAAGCTCACCTAAATCCAAGATGGCGTCTAGTTATTGATCAAGATGCATATGTTGCGTTTTGGAAACAAACTTAACAAGGAAGTTTGCCACGGATTTATCTTTGCAAATCTTTTTAATTCACTATATCTCTTGGTAAGGTTATAATGAAACATTCTAGTCGCCAATTTGGCGACTAATTTCCAGGATTTGGTTGCCAAAGTGAAAAATTTAGTTGCATTGGCGCCTGTATTAGGCGCAATTTCACGCCCTGTAGCATCTAATTTCTCTATACAATATCACCCCCAAATCATAAAGTAAGGTCACAAGAATAAAGGAAACAATCACTAACTAAAGAAGCTCTTGATTTTTAACCCTTAAATCCCAGTGACTAGCATCTAATTTCTCCTTACAATATCACCACTGAATCATGCATTAATGTCAAGAGAATATAAGAAATAATCACCAACCAAAGAAACTCTTGATTATTAGACAAATTCTCCTTGTCAGCACATTAATAAATGTACCAAGAACAGTATAGAGAATATGCATACTGATTTTAGGATGTAAAGGGTTAAAGAAATTCTCCTTATCAGCACCTTAGGAAATGTGAAGAGAACTGTATGGATAATATACATCCTGAGGTGTAAAGGGTTAAACAAATAATCATATTAGTACTTCTTCATTGATTTTAGATGAAGATATCATTGAATGTGGATGTATTGAAGAGGACAAGGCTGCTGAACAACTGAGACAAGAACCTTATACCCTCCCCCAGGGTTTTGTTTGGGATACCTTGGATATCAGTGATGCAAAAGTGGTATGTAATACAAAAACATGCTCTGGTATATGATTTTGATATATTTACAGTCAAACTTTTTTCACACATAACCTCTTCCAAGGAGGAAACAGTTTTCTAAGAGTGAAGCTCAGTGGAAACTGTGAGCTTCAAAGAGCAGATAATTGAAAGGGTGAATGGAAGAGCATACTATTGCGCCAAACAGAAGCACCAGGTTTATTACCCTTCAAATATTATTTGTAGCAAGAAGGACAGAATGTTTATCTCAAAACTTTCCTTTTGGTGCAATTTTTTAAACAAACGAGGTTGTGTATTCCTCCGTAACATTAGAAAAATGTGCTCCTTAGTGGAAAAAAAAACTTTCAAGGGAGCCTTTTCACTGCATGTGACTCAAGGTCTATAAATAAGAAGGTTTTGCTTGGAGAAATTGTCACTGGATATTCTTCAAATTTAGCTCAGGTGCATTCAGTTGTGTGACTCATTTAAACCATTCTCACAAGAATGGAAACATTAAATGAAAGAGAACTAATAATAATGCAAGCCTATAATTAATTTTAGTCTTAAACCTTTTGACCCCAAAGAGTGAGTAACATCTAATTTCTCCGTACAATATCACCACTGAATCACACATTAAGGTCATGAGATTGAAGGAAATGATCACCAACTTAAGAAGCTCTTGATTGTTAAACAAATTCTCCGTACAATATCACCACTGAATCACACATTAAGGTCATGAGATTGAAGGAAATGATCACCAACTTAAGAAGCTCTTGATTGTTAAACAAATTCTCCTTGTCAGCACCTTAGGAAATGAATAGAGAACAGTAGGGAGAATGTGCATACTTGTGTATGGCTGTTAAGAGTTAAGTGTGTCATTTGTTTGACAACTGACAATTTTTTATAGAAAAAGAATTCCTGTATTTTACATTTCTCCTGATATGTGTCTCCTTTTTCATTGTAGCTCAAAGAGCTTTATACCTTACTGAATGAAAACTATGTGGAAGATGATGACAACATGTTTAGATTTGACTATTCTCCAGATTTCCTTTTGTGGTTTGTATAATTTCCCATTCATAATTAAAATTTTACAAGATGAGAAGTAAGACTTTCTACCATTGCTAAGTACTAGTATTTTATGCTGAATATCTAAAGCTGAAAAATCCAGTAGAATAATAATTTCTTTTTTTACAAGGTTACATTCATTCATGTTGAGTTATGTTTGTATTTCAGGGCCCTTAAACCTCCTGGTTGGAAAATGCCATGGCACTGTGGTGTGCGCGTAGCAGGCAACAATAAGCTTGTGGGTTTTATTAGTGCCATACCTGCACAAATTAGGGTTTATGAACAGTAAGTTAATTTTGAAGCTATTATAACCTTTTATTATAAAAACTGTGGTGCTTTTATAAGGATTCCAGCCCTGAGTAAAGCTGTAACTGTACATGCGTAAAATTATGTTAACTATTTATGTGTTTGATATCACCCATCAGCTGCTGACACATTACTTGCCTTTTGCACCACTCTGTCAGGTGGATGAATAATTGACAAAGTGTTCACCATTCTTAATGCATCCTTTTGTGAAAATTTTCTCAGATTATGGCTGCTAATTGCACTGAAAGATTTATATTGCTCACAGACAGCAACATGAACAATTTTCTAGAAGTGGAAAAAAACCAGAATATGAAAAGAAAAACCAAAAGTAATATTAAAAAACTTTCATTTCTTTTATTGGCTAAGTTTACTTTTCTTGTCAGTAAGGCCCTATAGTGTTTATATAATAAACAATTGAAAATGATACTTGATTGGTTCTAGATAAAGAATTTCCCTTTTCATGTTCAACTTGATGTCTCAATCCTTTGCTGGGCTCAATTGTGAGATATCAAGTCAAAGACTCAAAGAGAAATTCCATATCTTCACATGCCCTTGTTAATCTCTATGTAATCTGGGTAAAGCACTCTTATTTTCAAGCTAAGGCAAGTCAGTTTTGGAAACATCTGAACAAAATTCTTGACTGCTCTAAATGGTACACATGTAAATCTGGGTGGGGTTCAAAGCTGGCATAAGATAACCCAGGGTTAGTATGAAATCTGATTTCAGACCTAAAGGCTTTAACAAAAAATTCAGTACAACTCTTTTTGTCTAGGATTTGATGATTTGATGTTCTAAAAAGAGTAGAGAAAATTATCCCAAAAAGGCTTTTGAACAAAGCAATAAGGAAACCCTGTTTAAATTTAACTCTGGGTTGATGCTGTTTCACGTGATGTGCATCAGTTCTTTCAAGCAAACATAGGTTTTATCCAATTTTCACAAGTATAGGTCACAGAGTCCTTCATAATAATTTTAATCTTGTATCTTATATTAATCTCATATTTATCTCATATAATCTGATGACCTACCACCTACAATCTGCAACTTAGAAAAGAATATTGTGGTCTTAAAGTTAAAATGCCAACAATTTTGTAGCTTATTGGTAAGCAAGGCTACATTCAAAGTCCTTAGTTTTTACAAGCATCATGCATATTGCTAGGATTGAGAATCTCTAAAAGTACTGTGTGCCTTGAAATAAATAAACTAGCGAGTAGATTCTTGGCTTGATCATCTCATATCAAGAGTTGCCATACAGTTTTCATGAATGTCTGGAAAAGAAATAATCTGATTCCCTATTAACACCTTAGACCTTTGGATCAATTCTACTCTAGTTGAGAGAAATCTCATGATTCGCCGTATAAAATTGGCCATACTGATCTGTTTTGCCTTACTGTGTGACCTGTGAAATTTGGATAATTTTCAGTCATCTCTCCTCGTTTTTGCTCTCTCCAGGATTGTCTCTATGGTTGAAATTAACTTCCTGTGTGTCCATAAGAAGCTCCGATCCAAACGAGTTGCCCCAGTTTTGATAAGAGAGATCACAAGAAGGGTGAACTTGGAGGGGATTTTTCAAGCTGTTTATACTGCTGGTGTAGTTCTTCCCAAACCAGTTGCTTGCTGTCGGTAAGTACTATAGTTATTTTCTTTGCAGATTTGCATTCTTCAGTCAAACCTGTGTTAAAGCAGCATCATATTGAATGGTCACCTTGTATTAAGCGGTCTGTTTTCAAAGTCTAAGGTTTATTCCCCTTAATTACTGTGATTTTTACCTCAATTAAGGGGTCACCTCTATTAAGCAGTTGCAGTCACCCTTTACTGAGTCCCAACAGCTTGTTTGTATTGTCGTCCACCTGTATTGAACAGTCACCTGTAGTGGAACCACTCAAATAAAACTAAGAATAATCTCTCAAGTCACATTTATTCCATGTTTATCTCCGAAAACCAAGGTTAGTGGTACTTTTAAGGGTGATTTTGTACATTTAGTGGTCAGTTATGACATAAAATGACATTCAATGTCTTTTTTTTTATAATACCCCTTTTTTGTGACAGTCATCCTGTATTAGGGTTACACCCTGGACCTTTCCTTGCTGGTGATGGCAGGTTTGACTGTATTTGTAAATTCATCCAGCTGCACTATTGAGTTTGAAATAAAGCAAGGCTTCTTAAGTGCAGACTACTGTTTGTACTTAGTCCAAACATGTATTTACATGTATGGATAAACTTAATGGTGCTGTTATTGTTCTCAGCTACTGGCATAGGTCCCTCAACCCTAAGAAACTGATTGAGGTCAAGTTTTCCCATCTCAGCCGTAACATGACCATGCAGAGGACTATGAAACTTTACAGACTACCAGAAGTAAGAAATTCAAGCAATTAGCATTTGTTTTGAATTGACATAAATTCAGTCATTTCAATTGTGTTCCCCATTTTGATAGTGGATCAAAAGTGAGTACAGAACCAAGGGTGAGATTAACAATCTCACTATTGGCCAAGTTTTTGGTGTATCTCTGGAAGAATCTGTGGCTCAAGTCAAAATTGATTTGTAGGGAAAAGTATGAAAAAATAATGCTAATATGTGACTTTCTTATGCATTGATCAATTTAAAGCTTCAATATTCCCCATGGGCAATCCCATGCACAATTGAACTTTTGAAGATTGGCTTGTTCAAATTCCCCCTCCCCTCCCCTGGACCAAAATTGTGATCAAATGCCTTACCCAAGTGCTGGATTTGATTGTCAACTTTTTTGTAGACATTTTCCTCTCAGCCCTGTGCTCGTGAAATTGAATGCTTTAATTTCCTTTATACACCTCCATATTAAAATATAAAACGTGTGTATTCCACATGATGGTTCAGGTTCCAATCTTCCCACCCCACCCAGACAAGGTTCAAATTTTCCACAACACCCAGGCAAGGTTCAAATTCCCCACCCACCAGGTAAACGCCTGTGGGTCACCTTGGGGGTGGGGTTGGGGAGAATGTTGAAGATTTGAACTGATTGGCACATAAGCCCACCACAATTTGTATGATGCCTAAACAATAATAAGTCGACACTGATGGAGGAGGGTAGAATGACTTGGCACAGAATGTGAAAGTTTTTTTTTGTTGTTGCAGAGATGCTTAAAGCAACATGCACACCCTAGATACAACTCTCATTCGTTCTCTAATTCATTTACATACTAAAAGTGAGGAGAGAAATTCGTTTCCAGATTCTATTGTTCAATTTCTTCACAGGAGACAAAACTAAAGGAAATTTGTACTCTAAAAGAGCAGGATGTGAGCTCTGCATATCAAAGTACAGTGAAGGTATGAGTTTAAGTTGTGTGACATAGATGGGGAGGGATACAAATTATTAGTTGTGTGACATAGATGGGAAGGGATACGAAGTACAAGTTGTGTGACATAGATGGGAAGGGATACGAAGTACAAGTTGTGTGACATAGATGAGGAGTAAATGAAGTACAAGTTGTGTGACATAGATGAGGAGTAAATGAAGTACAAGTTGTGTGACATAGATAGGAAGTGATACAGAGAATATCCAGTGGTTCATACACACAGTAACCTGAATCTTGAACCAAAACTGACCTTTCGTGGATTTTTCTCAGTCATTTCCTGTAGTAATTACAGAAATTTTTATTTCACCCACAAACAGATTTCTCTGCACAAGGTAGTTTGCTGTCAGTGATCGTGGCACTTACACTAGTAGTGAAGTATTAATGACTACATCTTGAGACAAACGACTTTCTTCCCTTGACAATGTCACTTGCAATTATTTGGCCGCAAATTATTTATTGAAATACACAGAGTATTTAAGGGTTGTTTTCTGCCTGTCAATGTGTGTTTCTGCTGATTTTTCTTTCTGAAAAATGACTCGTATAATTACGTATTTCAATTTCCATGAATACATGACCATAAATTTAGTGTGCTTACCACAAAATAAAGTTAATTATATTCTTTATCATTTTTCTGTTACATAGTACCTGAAGAAGTTCAGCTTAGCCCCAGAGTTCTCGGAGGTAAGGAATACACTATGCTCAAGTAAATGTTTACAATTGCAACTCTCTTTACTGATTCTTAATGCATGAATTTCCTTACACTCTGCTCGAGAAGAACTCCTCAGGGTACCATTATTGTGCTTAGTGTGTTCAACAGACAAGATAATTCTCTGGCGACTTCACAGAATTCTCTGCTTACATTTCGATGGCTCGAGTTACTCTTTTAATTAAAATTTGAAAAGATACTTCAGTCACTTTACTCCATTCTCCTTCTTCTACAGTTCTTAACCCTCTACACCCTTACATCAGTATGTATATTCTCCATACTGTTCTCCAAACATTTCGTAAGGTGCTGACAAGGAGAATCGGTGTAGCAATCAAGAGTTGGTGATTATTTTCTTTATTCTCGTGACCTTAATGTGTGATTCAGGGGTGATTTTGTAAGGAGAAATTAGATGTAAGTCACTCTTACGGGTCGAAGGGTTAAATAAATCCTGTTTACTGTGTTAAGGTATATAAAGCAAATTTCACTTATTTGAAAACCCCTTTCATTCATTTACCGGTAAGACTTTTCAGTCGTTTGAACTAGTCACTCATGTATGCATTTTGTTACACAGGAAGAATTCAGACACTGGTTTACTCCTCGTGAAGGCATCGTAGATTCGTTTGTTGTCAAGGTACGTATTTTGTTTAGTGCGGCGGTCATAAAAACAGGTAAATATGGCGCAATACTTCTTAATAAGAGAAACTGAAGCTCAAGGTGCTGCTCTTTGATCTGAGAAAATGCTTGATTATTCGCGACAGGGAAGCAAGTTGTTGAAAACAAATTGTTCTCGCCCTACGGAGCTCGAGCAATTTTGTACGCCTTATAAAAAATGTACTCGTGCTGATTTATCACAAAACGCACTCGAGATGATGTAATTACCTACGTTAATGGCCGCTGTCCGAGTCTTGATGGACGCATAAGTTTCCCTGCGCTTTCAGCAATTTGCTTGTTTTTACTTACAAGGCACCTTGGGATATTTCCCTTTCCTCTGATTGGCTGTTGAAATTGCTTTGGTTGTGGTTTTACGAAACTAGAGGTTTCAATAACTTTTTTTCATAAGCGGCTGCTGATGGAGTAGTAGGCGGCTGTGTCGTAAGGCGAATCCTTGACTCGAAAGCCGCTCTCAGGCCAAACGGACGGCAGTTGGAGGTCTTACGGGCAGCGTTAGGTCGCTTGTAACCGGCTCTTCTTGAAATCCCTACGGCTTTCTAAGGTGCTTAATCGTTTTACTCCCAAGATCTCATAAGTAATTCTTCCCACTGTTTGCCCCACAATTCTTATAGCGTTAGTTAGGAGAATTTGGTTTTGGAACAATTAATGATCCCCTGATTGACATGTTTCTTTATTCTTATCACTTTTCTGTATGAAATTCTATTGATATTGTGAGGAAACTCTATCTTAATCACTTTGGAATTTAAAGGGTTTACGTCGCACTGCGTTTTACTAAACAGAGGCAATTGTGGTCAACACCAAACTGTAAATATTCATTTTGACATCTCAGAACGAACAAGGACAAGTCACCGACATGATCAGCTTCTACACTTTGCCGTCCACCGTGATGCATCATCCAGCGCACAAACAGCTCAAGGCTGCGTACTCTTTCTACAATGTGCCGCAAACTGTTCCCCTTGTTGATCTGATGCAGGATGCGTTGATTCTAGCCAAGCAGGTAATTTAAGGGGCCCTGGTGATTATAAATGTGACGTGGTAGCTTCAGGTCACCAAATTGTTACGGAAACCGCGGTGGCCTGGCACATAGCGCGCTAGACTCCGGTCTGAGAAGTCTGAGCTCGAGTCCCAGCTGGGTCAGCCGGGATATGCCCTTGCGTAAGACACTTTGCTTTCACAATGTCTCTCTCCGTGCAGGAGTGTAAATGTTTACCGGCGAACTGTTAGGGACAACCGACAAAGTACTGACGGATAACCCATGTTGGACTGGCGTCCCATCCGGGGGAAGTAGCGATACTCTTTTTTAATTCATGCGACAGAAATCGAAGCTGAGCATCAGCATTTAAGGGCTACTTGGCCTCTAAGAGACCTTCTAGTATTTAGTATAAATCTACTAGCGTCCTTTGAAAAGTGCAGCAATCTAATTAGCTGCGTTACTTCCGATCTATCTTCCTTACTAGATAGTGAGTACAAAGATAAGCTTAATAGGGTGCAGTGGGAAACGAAATAACATAAAAACATGAACCCGTCTTGTTGAGTTTGGACTTCTGGTCGATTTATTATGATAATAGAACCGAGTGGAGTCTAATTCGGTCTGTAATCATGCGAGTGACAAACAACATTGGACGGCCGCGATTTGTCAATCGCGTGTAAGACTACAGACAGAATTGGACAACGCGAAGTCCTGTTACCAATTAATCAAAACTATGACAAGATCTGAGAAAGAAACTAGACATCGGTTATACTTTTTCATAAAAAAAAACAAACAAACAACCGTTAACTCGGAAATGCGAGACAACAGCACGCGCACATGACGCGTTCTGTCCACTTACGCAGGCATGACGTTTTAACTGTCCCTTTCATTGTCCTAGTACACTGTCCAATTACAAGCATGACGCGTACACTGTCCTATTGGTGCTCAAATCGGGCTGGTGATGACGAATCACGTTCGAAAATTTTGTTATAGTATTAATTAATGCTGAAACGGTTAGATAATGAGCTCGAGATTCGTAAGCGTGGTAGTTCATTCGGCCTTCATCTTCATCATTTATCACTCGATAGAGATTTCGAGCGCATGATGTAATTTTTGAATATAGAACTCGAAAATGCCAGAGAATTTAATCAAGTAAAATGCATCATTTTGATAGGACTCATGTACAGAGGGGGAAATTGGAACCTTAATTTTCATCTGAGAAATTCTATTTTCTTTAGGAGAAAACAGTTGGGATGTATTCCATGGCTCAATTGTTCAAAGAGCAAATAACGCTGTCCGATGGACAAATCGATATATATCGGATAAGAGTGAACAAAACTTATGACGCTTTATCTAATGGGTAGCGTTATCCACCCTACGAACCCCTAGGGCCAGGAAATTTCGAAAACTAATGTACGAGTAATTTTTTTATTTCCAGCGCGAGTTTGATGTGTTCAATGCTCTGGACCTTATGGAGAACAAAGAATTCCTGGAAAAGCTCAAGTTTGGTATCGGTGATGGTAACCTACAATATTATCTGTACAACTGGAAATGTCCGTACATGGAGCCCACTAAGGTCAGTTCTTCAGCGATGACTTTACTTCGACTTATTTTTCTTGATCCGTGTTTAATTCGCAGAAAAAAAAGGAAGCACCTCTCTGCTACTCCTCTACGTTTGACGATGAAAATTATTTTTGCAAGATATATGGATCCCATTTTTCGGAGCCAACGTAATTTTTTATGGATTCCTCTCGACACCTTTGATGGACTTAAAACTGGGACGACCTGACTAAAATTACTCATTCTTTTCCTTCTTCGGTATCTTTACAGTTAAACTCAAATTCGTTCCTTGCCAAACTATTCAAGGCAGCATTAAACCTCCAAGTCCCAAGATATGATTGTTAATTCTCTCCTCCAGCAGCCACACGTCTCCTTGTAAATAAGTTACGAGAATTTGGTGTTAGATCAAGATACCAACTTTACCAGATAAATTTGAGTATTCTCGTCAACTGTTTTCTGGATGGTGTATGAACATTGTTATCCTACAAACACACCTGACTTTTACGTAATTTTGTTAAGGGTTATTTTTCCTCTTTCAAGGTTGGACTTGTTCTGCAGTAAACATCGGAATGTTCTGGATCAACAGAACATCCTCTCTAGACCCTCTTGACATTTAAACGATATAATGGTAACAACAAAAAAGCTTGCGGATGAGGAGACACACTGTAAGGAAATACATGACGCAGGAGCGTACTCGATGAAGGCCACGACGCAAAGAAGCTAACTCAGAGTGAATTTCCTAAAAAAAAATTAACAACAAAACTGTATTTAAAGCGCTTTATCAAGCATACTGCAAGCTGCAGACGTTAGAAAAAAAGTTTTTTTTTAATGTGTATGCGTTTTGTGGGTATTGCTAAATCGGCTTAATGTCGGTATCTGAACAACTGCGTACCTACCCACCCCTCCCCTAACCCAACAACCGTCAACTGATAGCAACTGAGGATTGATGTTTGGTTAGGGGGAGGGGTAGGCGTGCATTTGCTCAGATAATGAAACTATTTTAAAGATTTTTGTTATCAGATTTTAGGTAGTTTCGTTTATACTTGTTCAGTGATAATGAAAGTACTGTAGAGAATGCACCTTTTTCAATGGATGGATTAGATGGAAACTAGATTGCGCCGCTTATGGAAAGCAGATGGTATTAATACACGAAAGCTAGTCTTACAATGACCTTACAAGAATTAGTTAGAAACGACTGGTAGGGAATTGTACTTAAAAGGTTTGTACTTGTGAGCTTGATTAGACATTTACAAGAAAAAAAAAAACAAAAAAACAAACATGACAGCTGACAAACGTATGTCGTCAGTTGGCCAGTGTTGTGCAAGTCAAGGTTTTCAAATCTTAGTGTCAAATAATATCGGCAGTGTTAAGAACTTTCCGACTTCATGAAAACGTAATTGTCCTGCTATGGGTGATTGTAACCTTGCGTGACATTGAGTCACCAGGTGTCACGCAGGGTGACAAACGCAACGTGGTTTGTATTTCAAGTTGTAGAACCAGACTTAAGTTGATAATCACAAAAAATGCCATGGAGTAAGTTGAAAGTTTATGAAGCTTCTTAACGGACAGTTTTGCATGGGAATCAAGGAAGTAAGAGCAGTATTCTTCTTCTTGGACGTCAGATTCTTGACTTGCCTCATGCATATACTATGGAAATCTGGTTGCAACCATCTTATTTACTTCCTATTTAAAAAGCAGTTTGAAAAAAGTAACGCTACTAGTAACGGAATGTTTTAATTGATAGTAAACTGAATATATTCAATTTTTCATGTTTATGGTATTGTGTGGTTTGCAAATTGTGTGTTAAACAATGGGGGGGACGCATGGTTTTTTAGAGGAAACGGAGGGTGGGGTCAGTTGTCACTAATAGAGTATTAGTGGGGACCATAGAAAAAGCAGGGGGTTTCATAAGAATATTACTGAGCCTTACGGGGGAATCAGGAGAATTTTATCGTGACAAAACCAAAATCCTCCGACTCCCCCGCCCTCAACCCCTCAAGACGATAAATAGTGACCGGTCCTAACCTACTGGGGCAAAATATTCGTGTGCAGAAAACTCATTTAAATGAAATTTCTGTATCGTTAGAATGCTTGATTTGTTACGTAAGACCAAGAGAAAGTAATAGGACCTATCATTTTCTGTTGGTAAAGCTTATTCCAAGACTACGATTGACGTTCACAAACGTATAGAAGTTTTATGAAACAAATTTGAATCGGAAACCTCAACTGTTAAAGGACTTAAGAAAAATAAGATGGTTAAGAGAGGTTGTCAGTAATTTTCGAGAAGCCGGCGACAGAAGCAAAAATTCAACTTTTTTTTTATTTGCTCCAAAAGACCCTTTTGGTGAATTGTTCACCTCGATAATTTTCGTCGGCCAGAGTCAAGACGCACCAAGCTAAGTGACATCGCCCTCCAGTAAAATAATTTTCCAAAGAATAAATGTGGCGAGCGTGGGGAAACGCACATTTTTTTCATTATTGTGATCAAAGCCCAATGATGTACCTAATTTGGTACTTACGGTATCAAATCATTGATTATGACAGGGTGAGCTTAATTTTTCTGTCGAACTCACTGCACGAACTGAGAAAGTAAAAACTTGTATTTATCTCCCACGCGTTTCGTCTGACAATAGTAGACTTCATCAAGGAGTTTTACAAGTAGGGTAAATAAGCTTGCTCATATACAAATAGTAAATAAGTTGTCTCTTTACTATTGAAGCCAGTGGATATAATTCGCCAGGTGCGCCTACGGTGTTATACATGCGTGACATTTTTCGGACGTTACATATACGAGTACGTAATCTGTTTGAGGGTCACAGATTTAGTGTAAATATTTGACCCCTCGACATCACGTAATGTCTCTAGTTTACAGAGGTCTTAGAAAGCTTTATTACTTAGATGCCTTCTGCGCGTAGAAGGCTACAAGCGAATTACTCAGGTGTAATTGCTTTTGATTCCTCAACTGATGTTGTCGCAAACAGCTTTTGGGAGTCACGAAACAAAAAAACTTACTGGAACCTAGTTTCATGTATTAATGGAAGTAAATGGCAAATAAAAACATATTCTCTTGAGAAATAAACTTATAAATAACAGGGGTTCAAGATTTAAGATATATGAAAATTCACGTATTTGCACTGCGGTGGAGAGATGAAATTAGAAGATCCTCGCAGCTAAGAACAGGGGTTCTTTGAAACAAATAGTGATAGAAAAGGTTTCAGTTCTGGTCAATATTGACTTTTCAAGTCATAGCCTACTTCCAAATCTAAGGGAACGCGCCGAAGGATTAAAAAAAACATACACGTGTGATAATGCAAGGAGGAGAATAAAAATACAAGTAAAGAAAAAGGAGAAAACATAGAAACCCGTGTTGCAGCGCGCAGATATCTTTTGAGCCAGACCTACACACTTATGCCCGACACCACGCAAAGAAACTCGGAAGAATGCTGTATATGAACTTGCTCGCACGTGCACGCAGGAAAGGCCATGACAATCAGCGAAAATAATGGCAAATGCAGATGATATTTGCATTCAAAAATCAGACAAATAAGATGAGAGAAGGATAAAGAAAAACAATTTTTACTTCTCATGAAAGGTCACGCAGTCACGCTACAAATACTATTTCTACATGGAATTTCTTGATGGTGGAAAGTGGAAAAAACATTTTCCAGTCTTATTTTCTGGAAACATGGCGCAGTTAATAATTTTTATGGGGCTATTGATAATTCCTATCAATTAAGGGGGGAAGAGTTTCCCGAAAAGCCGAAATTGTTATACTCGGGAACTTGTACGTCTACAAGCACGCAGCATGTGAATTTAAAATCTACTCTCCTGTTACAGTTTCCTTATTGTGAACTGTGCGATAATGATTATAAACAATCAAATTGTAGACAAATGAATGTTTTGGTTTTGTACAAGTGCCCTATTTCCTGATTTTAGCAAATCTTTAAAGTAATAAACGACAGGAGAAAGAAACGCTACGATTTTCCCATCGATTTTTCAGCTAAAAACACATCGACAGAGCCAGTATCTTTGTAAACAGCGATTTGTTTATTTAGCACTCGAGATAAGTCAACTCAAAAACTTTACCTAAAACGGTGGTTTGTTCACTTAAAAATAAAGATAGGTTAATTTTTAAGTTAAAATTGATATATTTAAATGAATCAAAACTGAAGTAGAGACCAAACACGTCGAGTTTTGTCCCAATAGCGTGCGATTTACAGTAGGAGTACAGCAAGAAAAATGGCCTAACTCCGTGAAAATGCACGCTATATATTTTGGTCTGGCGCGCTCGCTTTTCACGGGCCAAAAATAATATTTTTACATGATAAACACGAATAATTTCTCGTTGAAAAGAGCTCTTTTATTTTATGTACATTCGTATACCCCCGATGTTATGGTCGTCTGAAATATAGCAAAATTCAGCGTACAAACGGAATAGAAAATATAGTGTATTTCACGCGGGTGGTTACAAACGAAAGAAAGTTCAGTTAGAAATGAAATATAGTTGCAAAGCTACTCCGAGGGATAAAATATAACTTATGAAAAAATGAATCCAAGATAATTTTTCGCCGTCTTGTTCGAGCGTTGTGAAAATGGACTGAAAGCCTAATAGAAATTATGCAAATTAGGTACGTTTTAGCCGATTTCGAACTTTCGTATTTTTTTTCCAAAATAAAAACTCGCTGGAACTTTTGAGTATTATTTTTAAAAACGATTCACCAAAAGGGTCTTTTGGAGCAAATAAAAAAAAAGTTGAATTTTTGCTTCTGTCGCCGGATTCTCGAAAATTACTGACAACCTCTCTTAAAATTTTTTAACTACCGCAAACACGATGTGGATTTATTCCATCCACCCATTGACCTTGTAAAACAAAATTCTCTTAATTCTGTTGATTGCAAACAGTGTTCTCTTAAAGTTGGTTCCAGTACGAGTCCAACTAAGCCTGCCATCAAGACACCGGTACTAGGTCCAAGCGAGAGAAAAGCGCGCGAAAACGCCTTGCCTTGGACGTCATCACCGCCGGTGACTACAAGAAACGTATTGAGGTAAAGGCTTCCTGCCAAAAGCCCCATATTAAAAATGAGTAATAAGACAATCCAGACACTGTGGAGAAAGCGATACCACGACGTTAACGTTAAGAAAATGAACAAACCCAAAAGCACTGCAGATAAAATCCATGTTCTTGCAATAACAGGCGTGCATTTTGAGTTAAGAATGAACAGGATACTTAGGTAAGATCTACCGATGCATTCTCCGATCATAAACACACATGCGTAGTAAACAAAATGGTTCCTCGGGTCGAAAAAAGAGTTTGGAAAGGCCAGAGTTGTAACAACGCCATTGAGAGTCAAAAACTCAGAAAAGTAACCCACGAAACAGGCCAACATAAGGTGTGAGTTTTGCCAGATTAACGTTTTTTTCTCTTCGCAAGATGGGTTATCTTTCACTGGCAAATTTTCAGAGGTAAGTACGGTATAAGAGACTTCTTTATGGTTTATCATGTCTCCCTGTGGCTTGAAACGTCTCCTCTCTATTGTGATGTAAAAAGGAAAGATAACTGCAGGCATCCAAGAAATGATAAGGACAGTCGTTTCCGGAGGCAGGCAAATTAAAGTTGTCATTGCTATAAAAAAAAAACATTATAATTAGAAGAGAAGGGCTTCGTCATTTTTTAATTGGATAAATTATTACGAAAAGATCAAAGTAAGAGGTGCGTGAAAAAAGAGAATTTCTTCGAGCTTTTTACCAAGTGCTTTTAGAGTGCCTCATTTCAAAAATTTGGGGGACAAAAAGTAACTAAAATGCTTTCTCAAAATAACGATTTTAAAACTTTTCGCATCAAATTGGAAATTTCATTTCAGATATGAATGTAAAAAAAGGTTTTCATTTGGTTTCTTTTGGATAATTTTTAGCATGTGGCGACACAGTGCAGATTCGGAATCAAGCTGACCCAAAACACCTACAATGCAGGCTCTTATCTTCAACTTTGGACCCAGTACTTCGCTTTTTTTCTACCACAAAGACCGTAAAGAGACAATGTTTAATAGCACCTGCACAACAATTGATGCGGTTAGCGCTATCTGTACGTTAGATTGGTAAATATAAGCTTGCAGTGCACAAAATTATCTAACAGATTTACTTAGTGATAGAATCATACCACTTGAACCGCAACCAACACAGCTGTAAACTGCTGGACTGATTCGGAGATGAAAAAAGCTTTGGTAAAAACAATCGCGCGAGAAAAAGAAGAACAATATAAGTTTTTCACTCTATTCATCAATCTATTGTCTGAAAGAAATTCCATTTTCATTTTTCAATCCACTCAAGAGTATTGGAAAATTCATAACTAGTTTATCACAAAAATAAATTCCATGACAAATTAACTTTATGATGTTCTATCGCCTTCTTTGAGGCAAAAAAAAAGGTTAAAAAATTCAAAACAATTTGAATTTGGTCGGAACGTTTTCTTTCGAATCTGATTGATTCATAATCAGCTACAAAGGACAGGTGATACAAATGAATTATTTCTTCCATAAGATCATGGCCACAACCTTTGGGTGAAAAGCTAGTCGAGGTGAATTATTTTAACCAAGTTTCTGGAAGCGAGATTTTAAAAAATATGATTGATTTTTGTGACGATGCCACTGAAATAATTTCATAACCTGGCCTGTTCGTATCTCAACCAAAACCATTGATCGTTGTTTGGAAAAAATAAATAAATAAATAGATAAGAATAAAAAAAAAGGTTCGTTGACTTTTTTGGGGTTCAATCGACTCGCACGCCAACAGAATATGCATACTAGGCTTAGAATCTAACCAAACATAGGCGTCAACCTTTTTTTGCCTTTCATTGATTTTTTTCCGGATTTCTTACCGGTGTAGTACAAGGGCCCAGCAATGAAACCAACGCCAGTCCCCGCTGAATACGAACTCATCGCCGTGTCGCTGTATAACGCAGTCATCGAGACGAAAGTGACCTCGCCAATGGCGACCCCAGTGGACACCACGATGACTCCAGTGACCCGAAGAAATACGGCCTCAACCAGAGCGTATAACAACACGCCGGTGATACCCAGCCCTACTACTGGCACCAGAAGAGCTTTGTGAGACAACTTTAAAACGAAGCACGGCAAGACAGAGGTAATTACGAAGAAAGGCAGCGAGGCAGAGATTAACAGAACAGGAGTGGGTAGTAAAGTTTCTTCCAAGATGTCTTGAGATGCCGAGATTCCAATGGAGAAAAAAATCTGGAGGATGAAACCAAACACCCCAAAGGCAAGTATGTGAAATGGTCGATCGTCTCCAATTAGTTGGCTTATTTCATTCTTGTTTCGGACAGGATCGATTTCGGAGTCCGAGCCAGATGAGTCAACTGTACATGTCCTCTTTACATTGTCCATTGTTGATCGAAAAAAATTTCCTTTCAACTGTTTTGTTTAGAAATTGCACCACAGTTGATAAATTTTGGACAAGTTGTGTTTTATCTCTTCCATCACAAAGAGATATCATTTACCATCTGTTCAGAAAAGCAACCTCGAGTTGTCCAACCCGGATTAACATAAGTACACTTGCCGGCAAGGGTTGATAATCAAGTTTATATTGATTGCGGGTTTCTGTGTTCTTGCCCTCAGTTCTAGGCCGCACAGCATTTCACGGTTTTTGTAATGAGCTGTGGACAGGCCTAACGCTTGAATTGTTAAATGAGCTGTTTTCGTTTTAACCTGTTAACCCTCTCTTTCACGGGTGCTTAACCTTGTCAGGGAGTTTACGTTTCGATCTTTTTAATTTTCACACCCCACTATTACCCGCAACTTATTTATTCAACGGCGGTAATTGTCACTTTCAAAATGAAAAAATGTGTGTTCTACCTAGTACCGCATTGCCAAACGTAAATGAAGGGTTCTTGAGCAACGTGGCGTGGGTCAGACAGCAGTTAATTGGCCTCTGGCTACCTGCTACGGTGAATTTTCCGCAATTTTCACCCCTAGAAGCTTTTCTTTCTTCTGTGGCGCTGAAAAGCTCTCTAGGTAATCATTGTAATGTACACTGATGTGACTTACTTCACATTTTGTATCATATTTTTGTGATTAAACGCTCCCAGTGTTCATTTCGAACCTGTGACCAGGTGAACCCGTCGTTTCAAGTATACGCTGTCACTCCTGCCAGCGCTGAATCGAAGCCTCAGCCAGTGGAATGCAGTATTCTGTTGTTCTTTCAATTTGTTCCCCTACGAGACGAAGGGGAAGGTGATAAAAATAGGTATATTGGTAGCGGGGTAACGTCAATATGTATTGACTAAATTAATACATAGTAAAAGTATGTTAACGGCGTAAAATTATCACCGACTGGAGGAAATCACGCCGTTGGTGAACAGCGTAAAATCTTACAGGACGATCACCCATGGTTTGATGCCTACTCTGGTTTAAAGATTTAATGAATGTAACCGAGAAGTTACAATTCATAGACCCAAAGTTTCCTACAGTCCTGTCTAGTGCCTTCATCAGGAGTCTAATCGTTGTAACAAGAGGTCATTTAATATGCTCACAAATTAGCTGCCCTTTTTCCTGACGAGGTGTAAATAAGCCCCAGGTGGAAAGCCGCCATCATCACGATTTTAAGGAGCGTGGGTGGAGCTGATATGTCAGGCTTCCAAACAAAGGCGCTGGTGGTAACGTCAATAAGTGGTGATAATTAGAATCATCCCACTCAATTGTATGGTTAGTTAAGCATGTGTGCTCCAACAAAGCTGAATTTTCTTTTTCAGAAAAGAAGACCGCTTTTTGATGCTCTCTCAAAAAGGTCCTATAGCCATAAACTCAGCCGCCAGAAACTATTGCCGCAAGGTCTTTTCAGATGATTCTTACTTTTCTTGTTTAAAAACAAGAAAAGTAAAGTTTTTAAAAAACTATTTGTGTAAAATTTAAACAAATGAAATACCATTGCGTCGCAGGAGTGAAATTAAAAGGGTTTGGTCACTTGTCAGAAAGACCGCAAGTAAGTCAAATGTAAAAGCCAGGACCATGCTCAACCGATATAGCGTACTCCAACGTTTATGCATCGCCGATGTTTCATTGGAGTCCCTCGTCAGATCGAGAAAATTACGGTATTCATATGATCTGTCAAGCCACCTGAAAAAATAACGAGAACTAATTAAATATCTCGAAATAGGATAGTTTCTTGCCGGAGTTTCAAGACTTGCTAATGAAGAATAGCCTGAGCCATCAGTTAGGACAACTTCCTTAAGATCCAAGGGTGATAAAAAAACAGCGTCGAAAACGTAAAATATTAATACAGATTTAAATATCATTTAATTTTCAAAAAAGATTTATAAGTGTCCACGCAGAGTATGATATCTAATTTAAATGACTGAAATCACATTGAATAAACAATTACTGGATCTGACATCCGCAGGTTAATATAATTTATTTCATCTAATTTAAATACTCGAACGGAACTGACAATATCTGCACATCGGAGCTCTACGAACTTTATGACGAATAAGAGACGTTTCTCGAGACGTGAGCTTGGGCTGCCTGTGATTGAATAAACAATTATTGGATCTGACAGCCGCCGGTTAATATAGTTTACCTTATTTCATCTCATTTAAATACTCAAGCGGAACTGACAATATTTGCACATCAGAGCTCTGCAAACTTTATGACGAATTCTTCCATAAGCATTTAACGCCAAGATTACCCGCTCTTGCGATCGTCTGCTGATTTATAGTAGCTACCCGGTCAGCTTAAAACTGAGCGAGAAAGTATGGGGACACATGGATTCTTCCGTTTCATTGCCTCCGCAAAATTTAAATTCCGCCATAAGCGATTTCGAAAACCGTTAAAGGTTATGCTCTTCGCTTTAATGTTCTGTTCAATCTGCTTTTATATCTTCAATACGTTGCACCATTCACAAACGTATGACGCTGTCCATGTCACGGTAAAAAATGATACAAAGACTACTACAAACGGCACACCACGCCGTTTCACCGGCGCTATGGGTGCTCTGAATATTCACGTATGGCGAGAGGTTTGTGGCTCAAGCATCCAAAATCTCCGTCAATATTTGCTTTTTCCGCATTATCCTGACGAAATGTTCATGAAGCTCAATATGCTTAAGTTTCAAATTATCGACAACACCATCGATTATGGCCAACGGATTTTTGGCTTCCTCCATCCTCCTCACAGCGATGAGTACAACTTCGCCATAGCCTCTGATGACGAGTCAGAGTTATGGCTCAGTCCTAGCGACGATCCGAAGGAGAAACAGTTAATTGCGCGTGTTTTTAAAGAAGGAGTAAGTGCGTGGACGAAAAAGGATGAACTTCGTAAATATCCCGGACAAATCTCAGAACATCTAATGCTCTCTGGAGACAGAAAATACTACATAGAAGTTGTGCATAAGCAAGGAGTTGCTCTTGGCTTTGTACAAGTTTACTGGAAACGTCGCAGTGATAACGATTTCTACCTTATCAGTTCGGAGTACTTATCATCCCATGCAAACGGTGTTATGATTACCAAAGCAAAAGATGTTTTGCATAATTTGCTTTCGGAGAGCTATCGTCAAGATCTTGAGCTGAAATCTAAATCAGCAGATCATAAACGCTTACAATTTCAATCACTTCCGTTGCTCCCAAAAGATAGTTATCTTCCCTTGTGTGATTTCCAGTCTAACTCTTTGTCAAATGGAGAGAAAGTGTATCGTTATCAAGGCCGCAAAGCGGTGCAGTTATCCAGCGTCTACCCTGCTGATGGTAGCAGTGCGTTGACTTATAAAAATTTGCGGAACTGGCCTAACAAAATTGCTGACGGGGACAAAATTCAAGCAGTCACGGATGAGATAATTACGTCGTTAAACCATAAAACCTCAAAGTAAGTTGACCTAAAAATTAAACTATCAACCACATAGCAAATGCCAAAAAATTCGTGAACTACTGTGGATGCGCTACGTAACGATAATCATCAGTCATAATCATTAGTCATCATTATCATACAAAACACAAATCTTGGAATTAACATACGCCGTGCAAGTGACTCCAACATAGAGAATTACTAACTCCCGTTCCGTCAGCCGTTATGAAAGCGCAAGTTCAATATGCTTGACGGCGTGCGTCAATAAGTGGTGATAATTTTAGACTCATCCCACTCAACTGTATGGTTAGTTAGGCACGTGTGCTCCAACAAAGCTGAATTTTCTTTTTCGCAAACGAAGACCGCTTTTTGATGCTCTCTCAAAAAGGTCTTATAGCAATAAACTCAGCCGCCAGAAACTATTGCCGCAGGGTCTTTTCAGAAGATTCTTACTTTTCTTGTTTAAAAACAAGAAAAGTAAAGTTTTTAAAAAAATCTTTGTGTAAAATTTAAACAAATGAAATACCATTGCGTCGCAGGAGTGAAATTAAAAGAGTTTAGTCACTTGTCAGAAAGACCGCAAGTAGGTCAAATTTAAAGGGCAGGACCATGTTCAACTGATATAGCGTACTCCAACGTTTATGCATTGCCGGTGTTTCATCGGAGTCCCTCGTCAGATCGAGAAAATTACGGTATTCATATGATCTGTCAAGCCACCTGAAAAAATAACAAGAACTAATTAAATATCTCGAAATGGAATAGTTTCTTGATGGAACGCCAAGCCGGAGTTTCAAGACTTGCTCATGAAGAATAGCCTGAGCCATCAGTTAGGACAACTTCCTTACGATCCAAGAATGATAAAAAAAAAAACAGCGTCGAAAACGTAAAATTCAAATTTAATTTTCATTTAATTTTCAAAAAAGATTTATAACTGTCCACGCAGTATGATATCCAATTTCAATGGTTGAAATCACATTGAATCACAGGCAGCCCAAGCTCACGTCTAGAGAGAAAGCAAACGATTAATTCATGAAAGTGTCACGCGTTGTGTGACATGGTGTTAAGTTACAAGAGCAACCGTTGAGAATTTCAACACATTGTAAGGAACAACACCCAAGCTCCAGCTGTGAGATGATCATCTTGCACAATAACAGTCAGAAAAGCCCTTTCTTATGTATATTGAAAACCTCGAAATGGACAACTCGCTAAAATGGGTTCTTTTCATCAAAGTAAACGGTCAGATAACAAGTGATACGCTGTGAAAGTAAGGTGAGGTATTTTTATTGAGAATTTGACGTATTATTTTATTCCTAAGTGCGGTCGTAAATATTCTCATACAAACTCTTATAATTCCGCCATGACTATTATTGTGCAAGATGATCATCTCACAGCTGGAGCTTGGGCCACCTGTGGGAAAAACAAGCTTAAACGGCAGAAATTGCCAGAAATCACCGCGAACACACAAGATGTGAATAAGTTTTATTCATTTTACGTGTAAAATGTTCATATTTGGAAATATTCATCTTTGTAAATCGACCATATATCGTTCCCCATACTACTCCTTATAACGTTCAAATTCTCAACGGGTCCTCTCGTAACACCGAGTCACACAACGCGTGACACTTTCATGAATTAACCGTTTGCTTTTTCTCGAGACGTGAGCTTGGGCTGCCTGTGATTGAATAAACAATTATTGGATCTGACACCCGCCGGTTAATATAGTTTACCTTATTTCATCTCATTTAAATACTCAAGCGGAACTGACAATATTTGCACATCAGAGCTCTGGAAACTTTATGACGAATTCTTCCGTAAGCATTTAACGACAAGATTACCCGCTCTTGCGATCGTCTGCTGATTTATAGTAGCTACCCGGTCAGCTTAAAACTGAGCGAGAAAGCATGAGGACACATGGATTCTTCCGTTTCATTGCCTCCGCAAAATTTAAATTCCGCCATAAGCGATTTCGAAAACCGTTAAAGGTTATGCTCTTCGCTTTAATATTCTGTTCAATCTTCTTTTATATCTTCAATACGTTGCACCATTCACAAACGTATGACGCTGTCCATGTCGCGGTAAAAAATGATACAATGACTACTACAAACGGCACACCACGCCGTTTCACCGGCGCTATGGGTGCTCTGAATATTCACGTATGGCGAGAGGTTTGTGGCTCAAGCATCCAAAATCTGCGTCGATATTTTCTTTTTCCGCATTATCCTGACGAAATGTTCATGAAGCTCAATATGCTTAAGTTTCAAATTATCGACAGTACCACCGATTATGGCCAACGGATTTTTGGCTTCCTCCATCCTCCTCACAGCGACGAATACAACTTCGCCATAGCCTCTGATGACGAGTCAGAGTTATGGCTCAGTCCTAGCGATGATCCGAAGGAGAAACAGTTAATTGCGCGTGTTTTTAAAGAAGGAGTAAATGCGTGGACGAAAAAGGATGAACTTCACAAATATCCCGGACAAATCTCAGAACATCTAATGCTCTCTGGAGACAGAAAATACTACATAGAAGTTGTGCATAAGCAAGGAGTTGATCTTGGTTTTGTACAAGTTTATTGGAAGCGTCGCAGTGATAACGATTTCTACCTTATCAGTTCGGAGTACTTATCATCCCATGCAGACGATGTTATGATCACCGAAGCAAAAGATGTTTTGCATAGTTTCCTTTCGGAGAGCTATCGTCAAGATCTTGAGCTGAAATCTAAATCAGCAGATCATAAACGATTACAATTTCAATCACTTCCGTTGCTCCCAAAAGATAGTTATCTTCCCATGTGTGATTTCCAGTCTAACTCTTTGTCAAATGGAGGGAAAGTGTATCGTTATCAAGGCCGCAAAGCGGTGCAGTTATCCAGCGTCTACCCTGCTGATGATAGCAGTGCGTTGACTTATAAAAATTTGCGGATCTGGCCCAACAAAATTGCTAACGGGGACAAAATTCATGCAGTCACGGATGAGATAATTACGTCGTTAAACCATAAAACCTCAAAGTAAGTTGACCTAAAAATTAAACTATCAACAATATAGCAAATGCCAAAAAATTCGTGAACTACTGTGGATGCGCTACGTAACGATAAAAGTCTATTAAGAAGGAAAAAAAAGTTTAAAAAACAGGCCATGATTCGCACGGATTGCAAATGACAAACAGTGCTCCAGGCCGCAACCCTTTTGGTTGCCGAGGCGTGTAGTGAAAAATTTAGGCGAGTAGAGTTGCTGTAGCAGTCGCAAATTTGACGACCTGAATCACCTGGTGCTTTCGGTTTAACGTGAAAGTGAGTTTAACATCTGCATACGATGTTATAGTTATTTCTCTACGGTTGGGCAAGATGTCTCGTAAAGCTTAATTACATCACAACCAGTCTGCTTTGTGGTTAGCAGTAGAGCGTGTCGTGTAATACTGCACATTTTCCTTTTCCAGGGCGAAAATTGTTCTTCCTTTTTTTTTTTCCAGCGACCATTCTATGACTCCAAGAGAAAATCAACAGTTGATGTTCTCTTTATGACTCGAGGTCGTCAAATGACGACTTTGAAAGGCGTTGAGCTTGGAGCCCTGACAAAGACCCCCAAACCGTGACTAGCGTCTTTCAAAATTCATGCTTGGTGGAATGCAAATATCGTTATTCTTATGCTATTAATCATGTTTGTAGACCATTATTATGATACGCTATGCTGAAATGTCAGCAAAATAATGTATTTTGCTAGGTAACCATTCGGGCTGAGTTTGTAACTAGTGCTTTAAGACCAGAGCCAATCACATGCATCAAAGAGGTGTGTGTATGTCATTCATTAACTGGCTTAATTTCGACTTCCCAAGTTACTCCCTCCATCTTGGGAGAGGAAAAAATTCCTGGAAACCAAGGTTGTTTTAGAGATACACATTACATACAATGAAGTCCACTACACTATCAAACTGATATCATTCTTTGATTTACTTCTAGGAAATATTTTCTGAAGAGAATTCACAAGGTTTTAAACATCCCAGATCCAGTTCATGGCGATCTTTATTCTGTAGATCTTGAACTCGGTTTACAAGACGTCAGTCAATCATTTCGTTTATCAGAGCATGTGTTTGGTAAGGATGCCAACCACAACTTGTGTTTTCCTCGAGGTATTAGCTGGAACAATAAAGCTAAGGTGTATTTTATTCTCCCTGTTAAGGAACAAGGAAGATGGGTGTATCATTTTATAAACGAAATCACAATAGCCAGCTCTTTAACGGGCGATACGAACTTTCATGTCATTGTTGTTGACTTTGAAAGCGAGGATATTGACATGAAGAAGGCATTTAACACCACTCTTCTTCATAACAGACACACGATTATTCCATTAAAAGGGAAATTTTACAAGACGCTGGCTTTGAACAAAGCTGTTGAGCATATTCCAAGTATACATGACGTTTTGTTTTTGTTTGATCTCCATATCGACGTTCCCTTGGACATATTGGACAGCGTTCGTAAGGTGAGTTTCTATCTTTGATTTGAGTAATGATTATATACTCGTTAATCTATATATTTATTTAGTATTTATGTTATAGATCAATCTAGCGAGCTTTATTGTGTCGTGCGGATATCCATTGTAGTGCTATGAACTGGTACTAGTAAACCTTTATACGGGATACTTGCCTTTAGATTGGTGTGCCATTTGATGCTTGTTTACAAGCAGTCCCTGCTTTTCAGCGAAGTCCGTCGCGCGAGTAAAAAATTAGTAAAAAAAATTAGTTAGAGCGTCCGAGAGAAGCCTAGGAGTTCGTGGGTGTCACTCCAAGGTTCCGCGTGGCGCGCTATCGTATCGTGTGCTGTTTTTTTTAACTCGCACGGTGGACGTCGCCGTAGACTGCTCTAGACCATCTGATGTAAATACATCTCACTAATCTTTTTTTATTTACATTGATCTAATCATAATTTTTTCTACTGTCCTCATTTCTAGCTTTAATAACAATTCTTTGTTTTGCAGAACACTGTAGAAGGACATCTTGTTTACGCTCCCATTGTAGGCCGGTTACATTGTGGCAGTACGTATGTAGATCATAAAGGTTATTGGGAAATGGAAGGATTTGGCTTAATGAGCATTTATAAATCAGACTGGATGAGGTTCGGAGGTAAAAAAAACATCAGTTTTCAGTTGATGCTCCTTTAAATCAATGTTGATCATAATTTCATCAGTTCCTAGAACTGACATGCAACATGCACAAATTCACCCCTCGATTTTCATTCAGTTGCATAGCAAGATATTCTATTTAGGCAGGTGCTATTTTAGGCCAGAGAAATTATACGAAAATTAAAAGCAACTACCTTGAACTTAACTGTAAAAAAACTTATTATAAGTCTCTAATCTAATCTCTAGGAGTACATTTAAAATTGTGAATCCTTGAATTTTTTTCCAATTGGTAAACGGAAACCTCTTGAATCTCATGTAGTCATATATACTCTCTATAGGAATGAACACCAAGGACTACAATTACAAATGGGGCGGAGAGGACTGGGACTTACTCGACCGTGTCATCAATGCTGAGTTAAAAGTTGTTCGAATAAAGCACCCGGGTTTATATCATCATTATCATACAAAACACAAATCTTGGAATTAACATACGCCGTGCAAGTGACTCCAACATAGAGAAAGTCTGGGACTCCCCAGAGTAAAAAAGAAAACAATGATAGGAGGCCCTTTTTCCTTTGAGGAGGAGCTTTGGGCCCCAAAACACAAATCTTGGAATTAACATACGCCGTGCAAGTGACTCCAACATAGAGAGAGTCTGGGACTCCCCAGAGTAAAAAAGAAAACAATGATAGGAGGCCCTTTTTCCTTTGAGGAGGAGCACCGATGGTGTCGCTGTGAGTCAGCAATGCGGTTTTAATGTCTCTCCAGATGGTTGATTTGCAATTGTTTGCTCTGTAATATCTTTAACCTTATTTCAGATTCTCCGAAGAGATACTTGGAATGTTTATGTCTTATTTGGACCATTTGAGGGCTACCAACACAGAACTGAAGTTATCTCTACCAAAACAAAGTCCTTGTAAAACTCCATATTTTAGTTATTGACTCTTCCGTTAACCTGACTCAATTGCATTGTGATCAGCTAGTTTTTGTCATCCGATAATACAACTTCAAGGGTAACTTCACTTAATAGGTTACAGATATTTTTTAGTACGATTCTTAACGATGTAATTGTAATAATGTGAATTAAACACACGAACTACTCTTCCAAAAAATATACTGTATTTGTAGGATGAGGTTAGGGTTGGTTTTCTTTAACAATCAGCACCTTCATTCTGGCAAAGAACGACACCAAGAAGGAGTAAGAATCCAATCGACATAAAAGCTCTGCCAAATGGTAGGGCATGCGGTTTGTTACTGAAATGATATTTTTCGTAAGAAGCAGGATCACTAGGATTAGGTGCAGAGCTACCAGGAGTCAGGAAATACCCTGTGAGGCAAATGCCTCCCAGAAAAATGCAAAGGAGCCCAAAGAGCACACATGGTGTGACACGTTGTTTCTCGGTCTCAACGTCACGGAGCTGCATCTTGACCTCGAAATTAAATCTGTTGAGAAAAAAAGCTCCCTATCAGTCCTGCTATATTATATCATTGCTATTGAGAAGGGATGTCAAAGAGTTCGTACAGTAACTGTGGATCTTGCTCAATTCTAGCTAAAAGAAAAACATTTGCGAAACCGTCGGATTCCGCGCACCGATGGAATCCGAAGGTTTGAGACTCGACTCCACCTGGGGAATCAGAATTTATTCTTCGTCCCACGCTCGTGACAAGACAAAAGATATCACTTTCTCTACATCTTTACCAAAATCTATTGTCTTTCTTATTCTATTTACACATAATTTCTGCCCACTTTCAAACACCACATTCAAGCGCAAAGATTGTTGCATCTGAATGTGTAAGTTTCCTTTCTCGCGTCAATGGTATTTAATTTGTCGATTTACACCTAAACCCCAGCAAGTTTCTGTAACCGTTTTCTGGTACTCATTTAAAATCCTGAGTGAAAAGAGGCGTCAAAAATTGAAAGTAAATCGCCTTTATATTAGCCTACAGTGCATGCGTCTTGTTGGGGCGACTTAACGTTACAAGCTCGCGATCGTCCATTAGACCGACCATGTTTGATTTAAAATGGGCGGTGAGGTGTCCTATCCGTCCTACGTTTTGACCGTCGTTCACCCCCTAGGACAATTTTAATTGTCTCTCCAGTCTTTCCCTGCACTCGCCCTCACACTCGCTCGCCAAACTTCCGCCATATCAACGAGCCACTTGTTCTGTTGCGTGAAGAAAAAAGCAATCAATCCTTACCTTCAGCTAAACAGAGCGCTGGTATTACAAATCAACAATTAGATCAGGAGCTGTTTAGTTGCAGTTTCTTTCTTTATGTTCAAAGTTACAGGCTGGGAAAAAGAGAATAAATGAATAAATTATTAAATAAATGAACGAAGCCAGGATAAAAGTAAAATAATTCCCTTTCACCGCTCCCCCTGAATTTTGCGAATGCTTGGGTAGAACACAGCTATGAAAATGATAACGGTCGAAGAAGAAGCGTTTTAAAAGCCTCTAAGTTTAAAAGCCTCTAAAAAAAGATTGTTAGTGAATCATAAATCGTTTGGCTAATAACGTATCTCGGAGGTCGATAAATGATTCTCTTCCTTACTCTCGGGTTTACTTAAAGATTGCCCGCCATCCGAAAACTGTCACGAGATGGAATTTCAATAAACTAATTATCAAAGTTCAAATGCCCCAAGGCTTACCTGGGAGAGAGGGATGTTGAAGCTTCGAATTGATAGATGCATTAAATCTTATTACTTTCTTATTTCTTCAATCACATTAAATTCAATTTGGTCATCATTATCCTCCAGTACTTTGTACTGTTTGATCGTCAATTTATATATATATATATCAAATAATACTTGAAACCTTATGTTGTCTATTGTTATTGTGCATATGGTTTAATTGGGGTACACCACGAGCTAGTGGAAGGACATGGCATGGCAAAGGAATTGAGAAAGTTCTCACTATTCAACATTTCTTTTTAAAAAAACTGAATATCAAGAGATATCATGGTGAGGTAACCCCAAGGAGCCTTGATTTTTCAAGCACCAATTCTTTTTAGCTATAGCCAAATACCTAGTTAAAATTGTACAATAATATCATTATTTTCAATCTTTGTAGCCGTTTCCTCCAGATTTACTCAATGGAGTATGGAGGATGGTTTGCCCATTTTTCGTAAATTGTTCTCTTTTCATATTTTATTGAAACCTTTAATTCGATTTTTGCTGAAATAGAACCATAAATAATTCAACCACGAATTCTTCAGTCAATTAGGATCGAAGCGAAGATATCTTACTTGGTGAAGAAGACACAGTATACGTCACACTATTGTTTTAATTGTGTTCTTTTTCCCAGTTATGATGGAATTCTATTGTGACGTACAAATCGTCTTCTACACCAAGTAAGAGCCGAAGATACTTGCTTGAAACAAGACAGTAAAAGATCAAGAATCTTAACCGGGGGAAAGAGGTACGATTTCGCTCATATAATTTCTGTTTGCATGCTTTCGGATTATGTTTGTTATCGCAGTTATCGTGCGTGATTTAATTCAATTCTAAAAGAGTACTTCCGTGTACGCTTGTGCATGTCGGCTGATTGCACCGCAATAGCACATGTTACAAATAGTTTTTCTAATCGTTCGTAATATTAGTTTATGTCGTAAATTACCTTTCAGTTCTTATGTTTTCAAGTACCTCATTCAAGAATATCCCCAATAATAAAGATTTCGATTTAATACAAAAGATGAGTGCTCGAAATCAGTAGGTCTCCACCTCCGAACAAGATATGTTTGTTTAAGAATCCAAACCCGCCACAAGCATCATTATTGTTATCAAATTGCTTGTTGTTCTTGCCATCATTGTGATAGAATGTGTTTCCAAGGCAACCTGTGTGTTTTCTTACGATCAAAATGAACTCATAAGTTTTATCCAGAAGTAATACTGACTCGCCAAAAAAGAAATGTAATGTAATCCCAAACCACAGCTCAAGAAGAAACTTACTAAGAGACAAATAGGCATAATTTCAACTCTTGATAAACCAATAAATTCATAAATGCGTATTTAACATTAAAATTCGTGGTTGAAGTACTTATGGTTCTATTTCAGCAAAAATTGAATTAAAGGTTTCAATAAAATACGAAAAGAGAACAATTTACGAAAAAAGGGCAAACCATCCTCCATATTCTATTGAGTAAATCTGGAGGAAACGGCTACAAAGATTGAAAATAATGATATTATTGTACAATTTTAACCAGGTATTTGGTTATAGCTAAACAGAATTGGTGCTTGAAAAATCAAGGCTCCTTGGGGTTACCTCACGATGGTATCTCTAGTTATTCAATTTTTTTTTTTTTTAATGTTGAGTAGTGAGAACTTTCTCAACTCCTTTGCCATGCCATGTCCTTCCACTGGCTCGTGGTGTACTACAATTAAACCATATGCACAATAACAATAGACAAGATAAGGCTTCAAGTTTTATTTGATATGCTTATAAATTGGCGATCAAACAGTACAAAGCAATGGAGGATAATGATGACCAAATTGAATTTAATGTGATGGAAGAAATGAGAAAGTAATAAGATTTAATGCATCTATCAATTCGAAGCTTCAACATCCTTCCCTCCCAGGTAAGCCTTGGGGCATGTGAACTTTGATAATTGGTTTGTTGAAATTCTATCTCGTGACAGTTTTCGGATGGCGGGCAATCTTTAAGTAAACCCGAGAGTAGGGAAGAGAATCATTTATCGACCTCCGAGATTCGTTATTAGCCAAACGATTTATGATTCATTGACAATTTTTTTTTTCAAAATTCAGGATTAACTTTTTTAAACTTCTTCTCTTAATTCGTTATCAGTCATGACTCCCAAGTTTTAGACACCAATGATTCCTTCCAATTTAACAGCTGTAAATCATGACGCATGATTCTGCGTTCAGCCCCAACCGAGAAACTTGAAATATGATCTGCAAGTTTTTATTGCGAAGGAAGTCAGCAATTTTTGTCTCTTCAAATCTTTATTTCTGTGTATAACTTAAAAGCTTTTAAAACGCTTCTTCTTCGACCGTTATCATTTTCATAGCTGTGTTTACCCAAGTATTCGCAAAATTCAGGAGGAGCGGTGAAAGGGAATTATTTTACTTTTATCCTGGTTTCGTTCGTTCATTTAATAATTTATTCATTTATTCTCTTTTTCCCAGCCTGTAACTTTGAACAGAGAGAAAGAAACTGCAACTAAACAGCTCCTGATCTAATTGTTGGGGAGAATTCAAATTCAACAGAATTTCAAGGTCAAGATGCAGCCCCACGACGTTGACAAACAACGTGTAACACCATGTATTCTCTTTGGGCTCCTTTGTATATTTTTGGGAGGCATTTGCCTCACAGGGTATTTCCTTACTCCTGATGACTCTGCACCTAATCCTAATGATCCTGTTTCTAATGAAAAATATCAGTTTAGTGACAAACCGCATGCCCTACCATTTGGTATAGCCTTTATGACGGTTGGATTTTTACTCCTTCTTGGTATCGTTCTTTGTCAGAACGAAGGTGCTGATTGTTAAATAAAACTGA